GCTCAATTGTAAATTGGATGGTCGGATTCTGCTGATTAAGGTGGTTAAGAAAATCAACTTTTTCGTCTTTCTTCAAACTTGTTGTCGTAACCCAACCCACCTTGTATCCCAACCCACCACCATTCTGGTATCGATATGTTGATGGCACGATAACAAGTTTGAAGAAAGACGAAAAAGTTTATTTTCTTAACCACCTGAATCAGCAGAATCGGAGCATCCAATTTACAATTGAGCCAGAAAAGAACGGGCAATTAGCGTTCTTGGACTGTTTGGTCACCAGATAGGGCAACACCATTAGAACAAGCGTATACAGGAAACCTACTAGTACGGACCGTTTGTTAGATGGTTCGTCATACCACCCAGCCTCGCACAAATCAGCGACCATTAAAACCTTAGTTAAAAGCGCCCACGTAATTTCCAGTTCAAATGAAGAATGAAGATCTCGAAGCAGAATTGAAACACTTGAATGAAGTATTTGACGTGAACAACTACTCGAAACCTTTTGTAAGCAGCGTTACCGACCAGGCCAATAGAACAACAACAGAGGCATCCAACACGAATGAGGACGATAAAGTCATTGCTACCATTCCATACGTCAAAGGCACATCAGAAAGAATTGCACGGATTTTGAGACCCCACAACATTACAGTCGCCCACAAACCTTCAACGACGCTGCGGGATGTCCTTACGAAGATAAAAGATCCATCACCTGTTATATCACGAACAGGAGCAGTTTACAAAATACCGTGCGCAGAATACCCTGCAAGCTATGTCGGAGAAACTGGGAGAACTCTGGAATGCAGAATTAAAGAACACAAGCGCAGCGTAGCAAATAAAGATACAAGCAACAAAATAGCGGTTCATCATTTGTCAACAAAACATCGAATGAATTGGGAAGGAGCTACTTGCTTAGAATTTGATACTAACTTTAACGAAAGAATGTTTCTCGAGAGCTGGCATACCAAGAGCGAAAACAACCGCATTAACTTTTGCCGCGATATGCCAGGCGTGTACTGTAGTCTAATAGCTAGTGAACGTGCACGCGCAGACCGATTTGAACGCACGCGTCAGTAATCTCGCAAGGTTGCATCTGACGCAAGATAGTAGTGAGCTTATAGGTCCACTACTAAAAAATATTTTGCTCTTTCTTTTCATAGTATCAAACTGATCTTTTAGTATGTTGTTAGGCTATATCCCCTGACATAAAAAATGTATGATTGCAAAGTCTTGTTGCCATGGTTACCAAAATATGCCACGCCCGATGGTGAAATTGACCCCATTTTGTAAACATGATTACTACATAACCATTGATGATAAAATTATGAAATAACTTTTATTTACTCAAACACAACAAGGTCTAGGAGGTGAACTAAAACATTTGAGATTGAAGCATTTTTAACAATTCCACGGATGAAATAATGGAAAAGCATGCGGCTGTTTCCAAGAAAGTAGACACTGCTCTAAAATTATGGAACAGAAATTATTTCTTTTAGTTCAACTCCTAGAGCTGGTTATGCTGAGTCTATCCTGAAAATTTCATCAAGATAGCTTCAATACTTCTTGAGATATCCTGCATGCAATATCGGAAATTGTTGATTTTCGGCATTTTGAGAAAAATGCATTTAAAGTCTAATATTTAGTTTATCATCAACACAATCGGGTCTAAATTGTCATATGGCCTTACCATGTTATTATTTACAATGTCAGAAAGCTCCTGCTTCATATGTGATGCCCTCTGTTTCCTTGTTCTTGTCATCCTTCTTCTTTTTCTGGCCACGGAGGATTTTTCTTCTTTTCCTTATTGCAGGAGTGTTCCGATGTTCCGCCTTCTTTACTCGTTGCTTGTCGGCTTTAAGCATGTTTTGTTCAAAATATTGTCCTGGTACTAATCCTAGCTCACTAAGAATGTTCACTGCTGCTTTGGTACCAATATTAAAATGAGCCACTGCATCATATGCTCCAAAATTCAGGACCTCGGCTCCAACAAAAACTGTTTTCGGCAACCGGTTCCAGATCATCCCGTTCAAGGACTCGTTTTGGTTCTGTGTTTTGCCATCCAAACACTTTGTCAAGAGATCATTATTGCTAAGCCTGATATAAATAGGCTTAATTAAGGCAATAATGTTGTCAGGAAGACCAGGTCCTGGTTTATACAGATGCGTATTATTGGCCACATCTTGTTTGTATCGACACCAGCTCTCAGGACCATCTGGACAATGGGTGTGCAGGTTCCGTCGCTTGGAAGAAACACAATGAAACAGGCTGGCAAGTATTGAGGATTTCATGGCAGCTAAATTTCCAGAATTACTTCTTATGGCAATTCCATAATAGTTCTGAAGTTTATCGATCAAAGCATCGGTTAGCTTTCCTTTCCCTCCAATTCCTTTATTTTCTTTCTTCAGCTTCCTCAGTGCTGTGCCGACTCTCTTCTGAACGTGACCAACACATTCTTTCTTCTCTACATGAACTCCTTCATAGCAGTTCTCCACCTCATTGTAAGCCTTGCTGTCACCATCGCCAAAGTACTCGGTGTATTGTAGCTTACGGGATTCCTCACTTCTTTCGAAGATTCTCTTGATCCCAGTAGGTTCCATCGACGGTGCAGATCCAACATAGTTAATTTTACACTTGCCAGTGTGCTTTTCCAGAAGATCTGCTTTCTTGACATCATCAGATTCTCTTTCAATTGCTTTACACCCATGGCAAACTTTTGTGAGGACCTCTATGTCTAAGCATTTGCCAGTTTCAATGGACAAGGTTGTAACACAGCCATTCAATGAGGAGTGACCACGTCTTTGCCATGTACCGTCGCACGAGACACCACATTTCACAATCTGGCTACTGTCGTCACCATCATGCAATTCAATTGCAGCATCTTCCATGGTTTCATTTGCTACAGCCTTTGCTGCTTTTGAAAGGGCAGCATTACAAGCACTGTAGGCCTTTGAATGCAAGGGAGGTGGCATGTTCATAGAGGCACAAAACCGTTTCATGGATGAATGTCCTTGTCCCATACTTCTCATGGCATAAACCAATCGCTTGTTGATGTCAAAAGAATGCTGGACTTTCTTGGAGGTGTGAAAGGTATAAACCCATCCACATGTTTCACAACGTACACGAAGATGGGAAGCACTACCTTTTTGTTCACGTGGGTTGTCTTCCAACACAAGACAAGCTGAAGAACCACATTCTTTACACATCACTTGCTGAAATACATCGCTCAGCAGCTCCATATCAACAAAACGGTACCCTGTTACCGTAGATTTGACTGCGGGATATTCATGTTGAGTATTCTGATTGCCAATTTTGCGAGCAGAAGCAGAAGTATTTTGACATGACTCAGTCGATTGCCCAGCAGAATCTGTTTCGGTTTCACTCCCAATACACGCTTTCTTCGCAGGATTATTAAACCTGTTGCCCTGAAATTTCCGTTTCCTTGTCCTTGAACCTTGTCTTGGCATTATGAATATACAATATCACGCACAATATGGATAACAACAAAGCTTGAACACAATATAATCGCTACGACGTTTGAGAATTTTGACACAACAAAGTTGGAAAGAACACAAATGTTAAACCAGCGCCCCCGTGTTCCTTAAAGAAGCTTTCAGCGGTTGTCTATTCAAGGCAGAGGGTGTACGTCATGTAACATATTCAAAATGGTTTTCATTGGTGGCTTTTATACAGGGTTTTTCAAACCAAAACAACCGTTGCTAGGGCGTTGCTAAGACAGGAAATGACCATGCGCTTAGGAATTTGCTCTTTTTTCGTGGTTTATAACTTTATTTAGCCACTAAAACCTTTCTGAGGTGATAAAGGAAGGTTCAAAGTATATAAATCGACCGTTTCCAAAAATTCCAAAATTTCAATATTAAAGCCGAAATTTTAGTAGTGGACCACCGTACTTATTAATTTATAGGTCATGTTTTGCTGCTAGTACTTGACATCTTGTTTACCAAAGACTATTCTAGTTGAACAAAGTCAAAAGTCAAATCTCGTGATAACCTGGTCATGCATATACACACCTCAAAAAGCTGGTTGAAAGTTGTTTAATATCACTTGCTACTTTTACTGTCGATGCAATGGAAGTCTTGATAAAATATTGCATGAATCATTTCCTCAAGTTGATCAATTCATTGATACGAATTCAAATTTCTTTTTACTTCCTGTGCGTTTCCTATTGGTCAATCGGTTCTGAAACGAAATCTAATTGGCTCATCTAAAAGTAAGTTGATCAATTTTCTATCAAATGAATTGATCAACTTGAGGAAAGTAATGGACCTTTAACTAAAATTTTGATCTAGACAAGAATTTCACCACAGCTTGAAAGAGCATCACAAAATTAGTAAGGGACCGCTCATTATTTATTGTACAGGGGGGTTGAGGAGAAACTGGGGGGCGTTTAAATTTTTGAAAACCTGAAAGGGGGGGGCTTTGAAAAATGGTTATCTTCCATGTTTCGCGCACCAATATAGGTTAGGGTTAGGGGTTAGGTATTAGGGGTTAGGTTAGGGTTAGGTTTAAGGTTAGGGTTAGGGTGTGTGTATATGTGTATGGAGGTTCCAGTTAACTTTTCAGTACACTATAATATCCATTACATAACGTTTACTATATTGGTGCGCGAAACATGGAACGATTACCTGAAAAATACAGAGAGACGAAAGAAGGGAGGCTTTGAAAAGATTTACCAGTTTGAAAAAACAGTAGTTTTAAAATGTGTCACAAAACAACAAATAACAATGTTTCTAGACCTTTAATATTCATAAATGGACGCCAAATAAAAAGTCTCTTATGTTAATGTAAATATAGACAATTCCCATTACCGGTATAGACTAATTTTAGAACTAGGCAAAGAGATGCAAATCAAGGGCGGATTTTGGTGAAAATAGTGGGGGAGCTGGCGGAAAAAAATTTAGGGGAGGTGCAGCGATAGATCTAATGTGGCGTTCACAGGTATATACTGTATTGATGTAAAACCTATATTATAGTAATAGGATAAAGCGGTAGAGACTTTGCTGTTTCCTGATTATCTAGCTGTTGATAGGTAAATGACGTAGTTCCTTCTTTGGGAGAATCTCCCCGGAGTGTACCAACGCGGCACGTTACAATTTGGTAATAGCCTCAATCAAGGCCATGGTATTAAGACAAGAGTAAGACAAACCGAGCGGGCAACCCAGCGGAGAATGCAGTCATTTGGCGTCGCAAGTTGGACTGTGTTCAGTGGAATAGGTGGACTGAGAGGAGATCCAGATCGTCGATGTTGGTCGAGCGGCGATCTTACCAAGAGGCAAGACCAAACAAGGACTGTCCAGAAAACTGAGTGGAAAGCTCCAAATAATTAAACGTCAACCAAAACTGAATTGAACTGTCTGTGTGTGAGTTATGTGTTTCCTTTCCTGTATGCTGTGTATTTTGACTTTTGAGTTTGAAAATTTCCCGTGTTGTGCTGTGTATGAATCATCAGAAGTAAATCGTTTATCCAGTGTCACCTGGCAAGAATATGTTTCCTACCAGCTGTGAAGTCCTGGCGTTTTCTACGTTGGTTTATCCCTTCTACAGTTTTATTTGACTTTCGTGTGAACTGATAATTATGTTATATGTATTGTTATTTTCAAGACATTTTATATCTTTAATTAATTAAATTAGAGAACTTATATTTGTTGCGCGCGTGAACGGTATATATCATAGTAGCTTCGATGGAAGCACAAAAAAAAAATAGAGATGTTAAAGACAGTTATGTTGGCAGAGATAGCGTAAGTCCGGCAGTATAAACGGCAGACCAACGATAGAGTAGCTGTAGCCTTGTAGTAATTATGATGTAAGTGAGCACAAGTGATGCCGGAAATAGTCCTGTAGAGTAGGGACAAATCGAAGTTGCTAGTTAAGTGGTATGGTGTTACCTGGCGATTTATTTTTTGTATATTAGGCTTGCCGTTTATGTATATATTCAGTTTTCGGGACGAAAACAATAAGTGAAGGGATATTGTGGCGTTCACAGGTGTATACTGTATTGATGTAAAACCTATATTATAGTAATAGGATTAAGCGGTAGAGACTTTGCTGTTTCCTGATTATCTAGCTGTTGATAGGTAAATGACGTAGTTCCTTCTTTGGGAGAATCTCCCCGGAGTGTTGTATGATATATAAGATTGTGTTTTAAAATAATAAAGGGTTCTCCATTCTGGCCTTGATTGCGAGCGCTTGTTGTGTACCAACGCGGCACGTTACACTAGCTCACAACCACCATGAAAAAGTTAGGGCTTATTGTAGAACAGGCCAATATCAACGAGGTGAGGTATGCATGTAGTGTACATATGTACCAGTGTATTAATGAATTATGACTGTATGACTACAATCTTGCCCTTCATTATACAATTGCTACAAAGTTTCTATCAAAACATTGCATTAAAAGGGTACTTAACACAGAGATGAATGGCTATCACTGTTTCAATTTTACAGAGAAAACTTTCTTACGTCACAAAGTGTAGATTCTAAGCGACCATCACATTTTCACTTTGTTCCATCATTGAAACTTTCCCAAGGGGAGGTGCATGACCTTTCAGGAGAGGTGCAAAAATTCTCAGGGGAGGTGCAAAACGATCTCAGGGGAGGTGCGCACCTCTCCACACCTCCCCTCAAAATCCGGCCTTGATGCAAATAAGTCACCATTGCTAGAAAGAGCATACTAAAATAAGTAAATTATTGCAAAGTTTGGTTGCAAAATGTTGTAAAATACGGAAAATATAGCCTTCCAAAGTTTGCAAATTTTGTATACTTTTGTATTGCATGCGAAACCAAACTTTGCAATTTTACTTATCTTAGTATGCCCTTCCCGGGAATATACTTTTTTTGCTAAGATAAAAAATTAATCAAATGGGAATTGTCTATTGGTTCCCATTATCTATTTTTGTTTCTCTAAATAAAGAGCTAGAGTTTTTGTTTCTCTAAATAAAGATAAGCTAGAAGGGGGGGACAAAAATTTATGTTCTTGTTTTGCCTGTTGGAGGGGGGGCTTTGAAAATTTTACTTGTCTTAAGAGGGGGGAAACGAAAAAATATTATAACTGTACAGTTTCTCCTCAGTCTCCCCCTGTACAATAAATAATGAGCAGTCCCTAATATTCCGAAGTTTCGTTGTGAAATGTTGTAAAATGCGGATAATATAGCCCTGCGAAATTTGCAATTTTCAGTAATTTTGTATCAGGGACCGATCGTTTATTACGTCTCAGGGGGGTGGGTGGCGGTGGTTTTTTAAAAACATCAATAAAATATGCGCCCCCCTATATTTTTTGGAAATGAAAAAATGACCCCCCTGTTTAACTATATAGATTAAAAATATACCCCCCCCAATCGCACTAGGCATTTCCAGGCATCAAACCTCAGTGCATCAAACATTCGAATTACTAAGCCTCGTGATGAGGAAGCACTAATAGAAAAACTGGGCACTAGTCCATTGAACTATAAATAAACAAATAAACTGCTATGATGAAGGCCTATGATTTGATGAAGCCAAAATAGTTTTTCTGAGTTATGAGCAGCCGAAATATTTTATCCCAAACGTTGGGCTATATATCAAATTGAAGCTACTGAAAATTGGAAACATATTTAAAGAAAAGAAACATATTTAAAAAATACAAAAACAACTGCAAAATGGCAAATTATCAGCAATTATTTTTGTAGTTTTTCAATATTTTCGTTTTAGCTAAAGTCTTGAAATTTCTACACCAAATAGCGTTTTTCAATAGCTTCAATTTGATATATAGCCCAACGTTCAGTGTTGAGTATTTGTGCTCATAACTCAGAAAAACTAAAATGCACTGGCTTTAATTCCCCCCCCCTGAGTTAGCCTTCCAGTTTATTTATAGTTCAATGGTTTAGCCCTGTTTGACAAGATGGCTGCCGCCAAATTATCATTCCGTTCAGCGGAGTCACTAAGAACCATTGAACTAAACTTTGAACTAAGAGTTCGGTTATCGTTCCATGTTTCGCGCACCAATATAGGTTAGGGTTAGGGGTTAGGTATTAGGGGTTAGGTTAGGGTTAGGTTAGGGGTTAGGGTTAGGTTTAAGGTTAGGGTTAGGGTGTGTATATATGTGTATGGAGGTATCCAGTTAACTTTTCAGCACACTATAATATCCATTACATAACGTTACTATATTTGTCTTTCTTTTTTTCAAATTCAAAATTAAATGGTAGATATATTTTGAATATCTCATAAAGTTATGTTCAAAATAAAAAAAAAAGTTATGATACTGACTTAAAAAATTTAAAATCCTATTGCACATTCAAAAAAAATTCAAAAAACCACTTCTTGCTGTTGCATTCGGAAACATAGATTTTATTATATGTATGTTTGTCATTATTTGAAACATCATAAAAATTCTTCAATCTCATCTTCTCTTTTTTTCTTTACTATTAAACTTACTTTAAGTTCTGACCAATCAATGTAAATAATTAAATACTTTTAACCTAGGGGTCTTACCAGTAAAATTCCGGGCTTCTCTGTAACTCATTAACGGCAAACGAGATTCGCAAAGCACGCCGCTGAATCTTTTCAATGTCTTCGCTCAAATACTCTTGGATGTTGAAATGCCAGACTTGGCAGGCGTATTCAAGGACAGGCCTAATAATAGTGGTGTACACAGTGATTAACGTGTTCGTATCCGCGTTTGATCGTTTCAGCACTCTCAGCATGTCAGTAGAGTCTTTTTCCTGCTTTTTTGACAACTTACATTGTTTACGTGTTCGTTCCAATTCATATTATCCTGAACAATTAGTCCGAGAACCCGAGTTGATGATACACGGTCTACGGCAACGCCATTTATAATTAAAGGTGGGAATTCCTGTTTATCTTTTGCAAAGTCTATTATCAATTCTTTGCATTTACTGATGTTCAGTTTCATATTATTAACGATGGTCCAATTGTAAATAGTATCCACAAGTTCTTGGAGAATGCTATTGATATCCGGTATAATACTTTCAGTGATAGTACTATCGTCGACGTATTGCCATCTGTTATTCCAGTCTGTGAGAAGGTCGTTTATCATAACGAGAAAAAGTATTGGCCCAAAAACTGTTCCTTGTGGCACACCTCTGTTTAAAGTTTGCCAATTTGATACACAGTTAGCTATCTTGACGCGTTGTTTGCGTTCAAAAAGGAAACTTCTAATCCAGTTTGTAATTGTCGCTGGTACCTTCATTTCATATAACTTGTACAGTAGGATGTTGTGGTCTATAAGATCGAAAGCTTTCGAAAAATCGAGCAAAAAATACCCTTACAGCGGTTTTTGATGTATCAATTTCATATAACAGGTGATGAACGAAGCTTAATAGGGCATGAGTTGTCGAGGAGTTTTTTAAGAAGCCAAATTGTCGTCTATCAATCTTTTCCTTTATATACTCAAGTAGGCAATCGGTAACAAACTGTTCACAGGTTTTAGACAGGGTAGGTGTAAGCGAAATGTGGCGAAGATCTTTGGTGATGTCCTCAGGCGAAGCTATTTTTGGAATTGGGATAACATTGGCTTTTTTCCACATGGTCGGAACAGTTGCTTGTTGGATGGAAGCATTAAAAATTGATGCAACAAGGGAAGCAAGTACATAAGCGTAGAACTTCAGAACCCAGTTTGGTATTCCATCTGGACGAGGAGATTTAGCAGATGATATAATGGATAATTTATGGTATATCTCTTCTTCTTTAATGATAAACTCTGGTGAAATGTCATAATGGCTGTTTTCTGGACATGTCTTTTTGATTGTCTATGTTTCAATTAAGTCGGGCATAAATTCTTGTTACAGCGTCCAAAACCGTAGCCTGCTCGCAGCCTAAATCCCTAAATTTCTCGGCAAATTCGGGCTGGGAGAGCGGAAGGCTACCAAAACCGACGTTTCCGGCAAATGTGATCTTATAAAAGTGATAATATGATGATCCGCGCCGATGAGTGAACACCCGATTGGGGTATCAATTTCCCGTTTGTAATACAAAATTACTGAAAAACGGCAAACTTCGCAGGACTATATTATCCGCATTTTACAACATTTCGTAACGAAACTTTGGAATATTACTAATTTTGTGATGCTCTTTCAAGCTGTGATGAAATTTTGTCTAGATCAAAATTTTAGTTACAAGGTTAAAGGTCCATTGGTGCAATATTTTATCAACACTTCCATTGCATCGCCGTAGTAAGGGACGGTTTTGACAAACACTTATCTCTCATTATTTCAACAATTACAAATCACTTCAAGTTTTATAAAACTGATCACTCATCGGCGCGGATCATCATATTATCACTTTTATAAGATCACATTTGCCGGAAACGTCGGTTTTGGTAGCCTTCCGCTCTCCCAGCCCGAATTTGCCGAGAAATTTAGGGATTTAGGCTGCGAGCAGGCTACGGTTTTGGACGCTGTAACAAGAATTTATGCCCGACTTAATTGAAACATAGACAATCAAAAAGACATGTCCAGAAAACAGCCATTATGACATTTCACCAGAGTTTATCATTAAAGAAGAAGAGATATACCATAAATTATCCATTATATCATCTGCTAAATCTCCTCGTCCAGATGGAATACCAATTAAACTGGGTTCTGAAGTTCTACGCTTATGTATTTGCTTCCTCTGTTACATCAATTTTTAATGCTTCCATCCACCAAGCGACTGTTCCGACCATGTGGAAAAAAGCCAATGTCATCCCAATTCCAAAAATAGTTTCGCCATGAGGACATCACCAAAGATCTTCGCCCCATTTCGCTTACACCTACCCTGTCTAAAACCTGTGAACAGTTTGTTACCGATTGGCTACTTGAGTATATAAAGCGGAAAAGATTGATAGACGACAATTTGGCTTCTTAAAAAACTCCTCGACAACTCATGCCCTATTAATTAGCTTCGTTCATCACCTGTTATATGAAACTGATACATCAAAAACCGCTGTAAGGGTATTTTTTGCTCGATTTTTCGAAAGCTTTCGATCTTATAGACCACAACATCCTACTGTACAAGTTATATGAAATGAAGGTACCAGCGACAATTACAAACTGGATTAGAAGTTTCCTTTTTGAACGCAAACAACGCGTCAAGATAGCTAACTGTGTATCAAATTGGCAAACTTTAAACAGAGGTGTGCCACAAGGAACAGTTCTTGAGCCAATACTTTTTCTCGTTATGATAAACGACCTTCTCACAGACTGGAATAACAGATGGAAATACGTCGACGATAGTACTATCACTGAAAGTATTATACCGGATATCAATAGCATTCTCCACTAAGAACTTGTGGATACTATTTACAATTGGACCATCGTTAATAATATGAAACTGAACATCAGTAAATGCAAAGAATTGATAATAGACTTTGCAAAAGATAAACAGGAATTCCCACCTTTAATTATAAATGGCGTTGCCGTAGACCGTGTATCATCAACTCGGGTTCTGGGACTAATTGTTCAGGATAATATGAATTGGAACGAACACGTAAACAATGTTGTCAAAAAAGCAGGGAAAAGACTCTACATGCTGAGAGTGCTGAAACGATCAAACGCGGATACGAACACGTTAATCACTGTGTACACCACTATTATTAGGCCTGTCTTGAATACGCCTGCCAAGTCTGGCATTTCAACATCCAAGAGTATTTGAGCGAAGACATTGAAAAGATTCAGCGGCGTGATTGCGAATCTCGTTGCCATTAATGAGTTACAGAGAAGCCCGGAATTTTACTGGTATCCCTTTACTAAAAGCAAGGACAGAAACATTATGTGAACAATTTTTTAAAAAGAATGAGAATAACGATAAACTAAGCGAACTATTGCATCATAAAGCAACAGCGGACTACGATATGCGACCAAGATGCAAGTATAACAATTATCTATGTAGAACTGAATGTTTTAGGAAATCGTTTTTTCCTCACTAATTATTTCCAAAGAAAACAGTAAATAACTGAGTAGAAGTATAGGCCTATTGTTTTTGCTACTTTTGAACTCTTAATATTCTTAATAATGTAATATAACGATAGCTTAATACTTTTTAACAGTAGATACAAATTTTGTAAATTTCTGATGTAATTTATTAACCTATTGGTTACAAAATCAGTTTCAAATAAATTATATATTATAGCTTTCGGCTCTCCCAAAAATAATTGAATTCTTAAAAAGTAATATTATTAATAATAACCATCCTGACACACGGATAGCATAGACTCACATGTCATAATGAAAAAAATAATGAAAATGCCTGACGAAGAGGTGGTCCTGTCTGTGATGTCTAGTTTCCGACGCTCCAGAAACTCAAAATTTGTAGAGGATATTTTTATGTTCGAGGCTGTTTTTTCTTTTTCCCTGACTTGCTTACAGGATATTTATTTGCACATTTTTTCTGGGTGTTTTGTTGTTCACGATAGTTTGTTTGCATTATTCACGCGATTGAAATTGAGAAATGTCTTCATGCAATTTAGCTCAAATTTGAATCGGAAATTCCTCTCAGAAACGTTACCAACTATATGAAAAAAAGAACGTCTTCCACAAGCTGTCATATATGGTGTTTTATTTTCAATGTATTTCAGTATTTAGTGTCATGCACCGAATAAAATTGTTCCAATCTATGCCGAGATTTGTCCAACTATATTAGCTGCAAGTAAAGCAAAATTTTAACGAACGTTGCTGGCCACAAAAATGGCATTCTCGTACCCAGGGCCCTTCTTACGCGCGGTGCGACGAGGGGCTCTGGCCAAATCCAAAACCGGATACCATAAAAACATGATAAAAGAATATATCCGGTATTAGAACAATAACCTTCGTTGTAGCCAGTCAGATGCCAGTTTGATTTGGCCAGAGCCCCTCGTCGCGCTCCGTTGACCGCGCGTAAGAAGGGCTCTGGGTACGAGAATGCAAAAAATGGCTGCACCACGCCCCACCAGCTTCGTCCCCAGGCGCTTTGATTTGCTGCGCCGTTTCGTGAGTAATGGAAATTTGGCCCACTGCTTGCGTTGGAACCCGCGCATCTGAGTTGGAGCTGGGGACGAGGCTGCTGCCCCACCGCTTCACGTTAATTGTTTCCGACTGATTTGCATTTTACAGCACACGACACAGAATGCAAGACAGGACCATTGCCGTATATGACAGGAAGAGAAGGTTAGTCGTGATTTTAATGCAAATATCTACATATCTGATACCATAGTTGCCTCGAAATCCTTTGTCTCGTGAGGTACGATTAATCACTAATTTACCTCATTACCCATGCATACGCTTGGGAAATTTAGTTGAAAACAAAGGATTTCTTTGTCTTCTAATTTTCCCCTGCATGCTTGATGAGGGAAATTTAGAAGACAAAAGCGTACCTCATTACCTCTCATTGGAGAGCTGTACCTCATCGAAACTCATCGGCACAACTATCTGACGACACCGTCCCGTACACATTCGAACAATCACTTTGCCAGCTTTTATTCCCTAATCTTGAACATTACAATTGTGGGAGAAAATTCCATTTATGCGCATGCCTAAAACGAATGAACACGGAAATGTGTTTCTGCGCGTGCGTATATATGAAAAGTGTTCGTACCACAATCATAAGACAATCAAACAGCATTCAAAACAGGCAACACACCACGCGCGATTCCCTCGGCAACTATGATATTACAAAGTAATAGCATGGCATTACGGTCGATTAGTGATGAAAATCGGTCGATTAGTAATGTCCCTCAAGCCTCGAGAGGTTTAGTAAAAGTCTCGGCTTTCGGGTACATTTAATCACTAATCGCCCTGAATGCCATGCTATTACTTATGCACTAGTCAATCGAAGTCCCCATCCCGGGGATATACCGGGTTTTAACGGGACTTTGCGGGGGAAATACAGGCTTTTAACAAACGTCGCTTGTTTGCTACCCGGGGTTTTAACACTGACTTAAATAGCCGGGGCATCATAGCCGGGAATTTAACGCCATTTTTAACGCAATTGAAAAGCGCCGGCTCGGGAAAGTGATCGTGTGCACAGTCTTAGATTTGTTTGTACTTTGTATATATTTATTTGGGAAATTATTATATTAAGATATTAAGCGCTACTCTTGTTGTTTGCATGATTTGAGTGATGTATTACCTGGTTTATACCGTGAATTTATATTTTACCCTATTAACATACCGGTATATATGACCTGGCTTATGCGTACTTTAATAATTAAAAACGGGATTATTTTACAAAGAAGCAAAGCATCTGACAACTATTGGCTTCATTTGAACCATTCTCCTGTATTAATTTTATAATATGCATACGAAATTTTTAAAGAACGAACCAGGTAAAGTATTTTATTATATAAACATAAGTGTTATATACAGTTTGTGAAAATATCATTTGTTGTAAAACGCATTGCCACGGACGTTTTATTGTTTTTCACTGAATTTTGTTTATATAATAAACAGAAAAATACATGGGTGCTTGGAAATACCAGATTTATTTCTCGTGTTGAACATATCTCACTCGTTCGCTGCCCTCACTCGTGAGATATCATGTTCAACATTGAAATAAATCTGGTATTTCCGCCGCGCACCCATGTATTATTCTCTATAACTTTGGCGGAGTTTTAATGGAAATATTAATGTTAGGTTTTTTATAAAACTGCGGAAATTTGAAAAAAAAACACCCAAATGTTTAGGCCCAGTAACCCGGG